GTCTTTCAGAAGATTAGTCTAGCTGAAGACTATACATTTGGTAACTGATTGGATGATGAGAGCAAGTTGGTAGCGACTTGGCAAAATGGTGGTTCCATTAATTAAAAAAAAATAAATCAAGTGAGGAGAAGTAGCTAGTTTTGTAAGAAAGATGAGTTAGCTTTTAGATAAACTGTCTTCACAATTTGAAACATTCCCAGTAGAGAAATCTAGGTTTCACGTGGAAATGCAGCTCCGAATCTCAAGAAAGAAGTTAGGGCTGAAGTTAAGGACTGGGGAGACATCACTTAATCAAGACGGTTAGAACCATGGGCATGAATGAGGAGGTCCCCCCCCCAGATAGCTGCTTCTTTAGAGTTTCCTTAGATGATATTTCTTCCTAGTCCCACCCCTAAATGTGGGTTCCTGCATCATTCATTCAACAAACATTAAAATACACACACACACACACACACACACACACACACACACACACACACATATATTTTGAGATGGCGTTTCACTCTTAGTGCCCAGGCTGGAGTGCCATGGTGCAATCTCTGCTCACTGCAACCTCCGCCTCCCGAGTTCAAGTGATTCTCCTGCCTCAGCCTCCCAAGTTGGGATTATAGATGCACGCCACCACGCCCAGCTAATTTTGTATTTTTAGTAGAGATGGGGTTTCTCCATGTTGATCAGGCTGGTCTCGAACTCCCAACCTCAGGTTATCCATCTGCCTTGGCCTCCCAAAGTGCTGGGATTACAGGCATAAGCCACTGCACCCAGCCTAAAATATATTTAATAAACATTATTAAATGCTTATTATTGCCAGGCACTGTTCAAGGCACTGGTAATTCTTGGTGAACAAAATAGTCCAACTGAAAACAACAACAACATTTGCCTTAATGGCACTTATAGCCTAGTGGGAGGAGGCAAACAGTGAATAAATAAATCTATAAAGCGCATAGTGCTCATAAGCAGAGAAAGGGGGTGGGGAGATGGAGTTGCAATTTTAAATAGGATGATGAAGGGAGGGCTCAGGGAGAAGGACACATGTGATTAAAGGGCTGAGGTAGGTGAAGGAACAAGCTTTTAGACAACTGAGTCCAAAGCATACCAGGATTCCAGGAACAGAGAACAGTCAGTGCAATGACCTCAAGGCTGGAGAGTGCCTGGTGGGTGAGGGGAACAACAAGGAGACCAGCACAGCTAGCGAAGAGCAGCAAGGGGAAAACAGGAGATCAGGTCAGAGGTATAACTGGAGGCCAGATTGTGAAGGGCTTATAAACCACAGTAAGAATTAACTTCTTTTTTTTTTTTTTGAGATGTAGTTTCGCTCTTGTTACCCAGGCTGGAATGCAATGGCACAATCTCGGCTCATCACAACCTCCGCCTCCTGGGTTCAAGCAATTCTCCTGCCTCAGCCTCCTGAGTAGCTGGGATTATAGGCACGCGCCACCATGCCCAGCTAATTTTTTTGTATTATTTTTATTTTTTTAGTAGAGACGGGGTTTCACTATGTTGACCAGGATGGTCTCAATCTGTTGACCTTGTGATCCACCCGCCTCGGCCTCCCAAAGTGCTGGGATTACAGGCTTGAGCCACTGTGCCTGGCCCAAGAATTAACTTATTCTTGGTGTGAAATAGGAAATTATTAGAGGATTTTGAGCCGAACATGGCAACATTCGATTTGTATTTTAAAGGTATTACTCTTTAAATGGACCACTCATTTCGAGAATAGAATTTGGGAGAACAAAGGCAGAAGCAAGGAGATCAATCAGTCGGCTTTTACTATAATCCAGACAAGAGAGGACAGCTTGAGCCAGGGTGAGAACAGAGAAGGTGCTGAGAACTGGTTAGATGCTGGATATATTTTGAGCTGGAGCTAGCAGGACTAGAAGACAGATTGAAACAGGATGTGAGAGAAAGAAAGGAGTCAAAGATAACTCTTGGCTTGGCACAGTGGCTCATGCCTGTAATCCCAGCACTTTGGGAGGCCAAGGCGGGTGGATTGCTTGAGGTCAGGAGTTTGAGACCAGCCTGGCCAACGTGGCCAAACCCTATGTCTACTAAAAATACAAAAATTAGCCAGGCGTGGTAGTGCATGCCTGTAATCCCAGCTTCTTGAGAGGCTGAGGCACAAGAATTGCTTGAACTTGGGAGGCAGAGGTTGTAATGAACCAAGACTGTGCCACTGTACTCTAGCCTGTGCAACAGAGCAAGACTCGGTCACAAAACATAAAAATAAATAAAAAATAAGGTGACTCTTTATGATTTTTGTCTGAACAACTAGGAGGAACAGTCCTTTACTTAGATGGAGAAGATAGGAAAGACTACCGGAGGGGTAGGCTTGGGTGGTGGCAGTGAGGATCAGGAGTTCGGTTTTGGACATGCAAAGTTTGAGATGAATGTTAAACACTGAAGGAGAGATGCCAAGAATATAGTTGGATATGCAAGTCTAGAGTTCAAGCAGAGGTCTGAGAAGAGTGGGGAGGGTTCCAGAAGGCATAAACCCTTTGAATCATCCTGAATCTTGGTAATATCGTCAGCATCTGTACAACCTCATGGGAAATGGGAAGCCTGTACCTCCATCTGGGAGTATACTGGTTTTTACCATGTTCTGTCTGCCTAGCAGCCTCCATTTGTTAAGCAAAATTTATATCTTCAAAAAAATGTATATCTTCAATGTTCATTAGCATCTTTCCTTTAATCACATAAGTATCCCTAGGTGGCACTCATACAAACACTTAAATTCCTTCCTTTTTGGTTCTCTTTGCATCTTCTCACAACACACACTCACTCTGTTTCATGCAATCTATATTTTTCCTACGAAAGGACGTCACGCCATTGTCTCATTGACCAAGAACAAGATCCTCCTCCTTTGGTACTCACCACGGGACAGTCTTTTCTTTTCTTTTTTTTTTTTTTTGAGACAGAGTCTCTCTTTTTCTGTCGCCCAGGCTGGAGTGCAGTGGTGCGATCTTGGCTTACTGCAACCTCTGCCTCCCAGGTTCAGGCAATTCTCTTACCTCAGCCTCCTGAGTAGCTGGAATTACTGGTGTGCACCACCACACCTGGCTAATTTTTGTATCTTTAGTAGAGATGGGGTTTCTCCATGTTGGTCAGGCTGATCTTGAACTCCTGACCTTGTGATCAGCCTGCCTTGGCCTCCCAAAGTGCTGGGATTACAGGTGTGAGCCATGGCACCCGGCCGAGTCTTTTCAAGGTTCACATATATCTGCAAATAACTTGGAGGTTAACAACACCAGTTGGCCGGGCACAGCAGCTCATGCCTATAATCCCAGCACTTTGGGAGGCTGAGGTGGGCCTGAGGTCAAGAGTTCAAGACCAACCTGGTCAACATGATAAAATCCTGTCTCTACTGAAAACACAAAAGTAGCCGGGTTTGGTGGCACATGCCTGAAATCCCAGCTACTTGACAGTCCAAGACAGGAGAATCACTTGAACCCAGGAGGCAGAGGCTGCAGTGAGCCAAGACCGTACCACTGCACTCCAGCCTGGGCAAGACAGAGCGAGACTCCATCTCAAAAAAACAAAACAAATAAACAACAAGAACAAAAACCAAACACAAGTCACTTTATAGGAATGTTGTTCAAATAAGGCCTATAGTGTTGTTCCATGACAGGTTCTCAATTAAGACCCATTCGTTGATCAGTTGGGCTGATCAAATCTTACATCATACAACCTTACATCATACAACCAGGGCATCATACAAATCTTTGCACATTGTAGGATCTTCTAGGAAAGAATTCTCTAGAATCTCTATCACTCCCTGTAGTTCTGGCTTAGACTCCTTTCACAGGAAGATGCATCATGGCTATGGTAAAGCTTTTTCTTTGTCACTAAATTTGTTTTGTTGTTTTGTTTTCTTTCCTGATAATTTTTGTCTTATGGAAAGTGGGAACTACCTCTGTCAGGCTTGGTAGTGTCCAAAATCTTTGAACGTTATTCCTAACATAAAAAGTCTTGAGTTGGAACAAGCTCAGGACCCTTTCCCCAAGGCAAAGGGCCTGGCTGACTCCTCTAACGTGTCTTTAAGGATCAGAAATTCATCTCCAAACCTCATTTCCAAATGGCTTTGGAAACTGTGAATCATCTAAGTCATTCTGAATTTTATTTTTGTGTTTTGCTGGTACTACTATACCTGATCGAGCAGTGGTTTTCAGTTGACTTAATGTTGCCTATCAAGCTTTAAAAAGTAGGTGTTAGTTTTGCTAGACTTCATAGTATTTTTGTATTTTTAGTAGAGACAGAGTTTTACCATGTTGGCCAGGCTGGTCTTGAACTCCTGTTCTGGTGATCCACCCACCTTGGCTGCCCAAAGTGCTGGGATTACGGGCATAAGCCACTGCGCCCAACCATGTACCACAGTTTTTTAAACCATTCACCCTTTGAAAGACATTAGGTAGTTTTCAGTTTCTATTATGAATAAAGTGGCTATGAGCATCAAGGTACAAATTTCTGAGTGAAAATAAGTCTTCATTTCTCTGGGATAAATGCCCAAAAGTGCAACTGCTAAGTCGTATGGCAAGTTCATTTTTGTTTTTTGTTTTTGAGACAGAATCTCACTCTGTTGTCCACCCTGGAGTGCACTGGTGCAATCTTGGCTCACTGCAACCTCCACCTCCCGGGTTCAAGTGATTCTCATGCCTCAGCCTCCCAAGTAGCTGGGACTACAGGTGCCTGCTACCATGCCCCACTAATTTTTGTATTTTTAGCAGAGATGGGTTTTCATCATGTTGGCCAGGCTGGTCTTGAACTCCCGACCTCAAGGGATCTGCCCACCTCAGCTTCCCAAAGTTTTGGGAATACAGGCATGAGCCACCGCACCTGGCCGTAAATTATCTTTACTAGGTTTGTAATGCAGTGTTTCCTGGGTAAAACTAGCTTCCCTTTTTTCCTATTACATTTGTTGAAATAATTCTTACCACTCTTGGAAGCAGAAACAAGTTGGTGTCTCTGCATTATATTCTGTTTTTTGTTTTGTTTTTCTCTTATAGGTCAATGAACAATTTCCTGATGACTGGTCCAAAGGTAAGAACAAATTGCTTTAATTGATATGGATGTCACTAATCTTAGCCTTTTGACTAAAGACGATAAATGTAGATTTTTCATTATATCCATATCTTTTATTATGCTGTATATATTACAGATAGAAAGACTGAGACCCAGAGAGTGTTAGGGACACATCTAAAACCACATAGCAATCCACAGTCAGAGCTAAGAACTCAGGAGCACCAATTCTGAATTTATGGCTAGAATTTTCAGAGCCATAAAAATCAACAACAGCCTTTTATAGCTGTCAGGCTGCAAAGTCACACGTCCTTCTCAGGGCCAAATGCTGGAATTGTACTCATGATCTTTACATTCATGGCATTTTCAGTTCCAAAATGTTGTTTTCTAAGATGGTCATGTGATGAGAACTGCTTAAATTTCATGAATTATGTGATTTGGGCTCATTTTGGAGAGGCAGTATAGTATAGTGAATAAAGGATAATAGGGAGTAGATTCTGATAAAACTGAGTTTCATTTCTAGTTCTGCCACTTGCTAGCTCTGGGACTTTGGACAGATTACTTTACCTCACTCCCTGAGCCTCGGTTTCCTGAACTATCAAACAGTGCCTATTTCACAGCTTCTCTGTGATGTCAAATGAGACAGCATATTTAAGTGCTTACTCTATCTTTCTTTTGGAGGAATGGGAGAGTGAGCAGGAAGAGAAGGGTTTGGTCAGTTTAGGTAAATACCTCCTAAGTTCAGTCTGAATTTTTACCCCTATGTCCCTACAGGCTTACCTGATTTATTCCAGCAGTGTGGCAGCTGGTGCCCAGAGTGGTATTGAAGAATGCAAGTATCAGTTTGCCTGGGACCGCTGGAACTGCCCTGAGAGAGCCCTGCAGCTGTCCAGCTATGGCGGGCTTCGCAGTGGTAAGAAAAGCCTCGTCTACAGCTCCTGGACCCCCTGGTCACAGGTTAGAGCCCTGGGGATAGTTCCTTCCTGCCTTGACACCCTTATTCCTCACCTGCTCCCTTCTCTTAGGTCATCTCCATCTCCAGGCTCTTCTCTTTTCCTTTTCTACCTCCTTTTTCCCACTTGTAGAGTTTTTTCTTTCTTTCTTAACACCATCATTGCTCAACAAATGGATCTTGTCTTACTCCCTTCTCATACCATCCTTGGCCTCCCAGTTAGCTAAAGGTCACCTTACAATATAAGTTACATCAGGAGGTAGGCAGGGTTAATAATTCCTCATTCCTCTTAGCCCCTTCCTTAGCAGAGGTACTGGGCAAGTGGAGACCAACTTGGAGACCAGATTCCCATGGAGAAGATAGAGTGGCCATCACTGGACCCCCTGGCCACAGGTTAGAGCCTCAGGGATAGCCCCTGGCCATGTGACCTGGGGATTCAGTGGCATGGCCACTCTTGAGGGACTCTTAGACCCTAGTGTTCCAGGAGAAAGTGGGGATGGGTTCTTTACAACCTAGCCTTCAGATTCATCTCCCTCCCCATTTCTTCCTTAGGCTCTTTGCTACCCAAATCATTTACAGTCATGTGTGTCAACAGTACCCTAGCCACCTGGTCATAAAATGTGTGTCCTGAAAAGACAGGAGAGGAGAATAGTAGGGCTAAGGCCAGTGGTGAAGCAGACCATGGAAGATGGTAAGAGACACTACAAAGATGAGAAGGCCAGGCACAGTGGCTCAAGCCTGTAATCCCAGGTTCTTTGGGAGGATGAGGTAGAAAAACTATTTGAGCCTGGAGTTCAAGACAAGCCTGGGCAACATAGTGAGACCCTGTCTCTGCAAAAAGTAAAAGTTAAAAAAAATAATAAAGATGGGGAAATAGGATGGAGCTGGGGAAAGAGGATACAATAATGGTTACTAAAGAAAGGTAGCATGACTGGTATTTCTTTGGGCTGCAGCCCCTCCCTCTAACTCTGGATTTTTGGTTTCTGCTAGCTAATCGGGAGACAGCATTTGTGCATGCCATCAGTTCTGCTGGAGTCATGTACACCCTGACTAGAAACTGCAGCCTTGGAGATTTTGATAACTGTGGCTGTGATGACTCCCGCAATGGGCAACTGGGTGAGTAGCCATGTGGGGATGGGTGGCATTGGCCAGTTCAACTCACATAATGCATGAAAAGCCTGATGGGGGTGAGGAAGAGCTGTATTCTTCTAAATATGAAGAAAGTCACATGGAAGATGTGTGAATGAGTTTGATCCAAAAATCTAAACAAGCCAGGTTAAATGTAGCTTAGGACCTTCTTTTTCCATTGAGTAGTTCCCTTAATTTAAACATAATTACAAAGAAACAACACTCGGGATTCCTTCTCTCAAACGCAGGGGGAACTTCCTTCCACGTTGCCTATCTCGGTCTACTTTCTATTCTTTAGCTCCAGCGCTGTCTCCAATCCCCTGTGCCCTCTCGACCAGTTTCCAACATCGTTGTTCCATATTTCTTTTTCTTTTTGAGACGGAGTTTTGCTCTTGTTACCCAGGCTGGAGTGCAATGGCGCGATCTCGGCTCACCGCAACCTCCGCCTCCTGGGTTCAGGCAATTCTCCTGCCTCAGCCTCCTGAGTAGCTGGGATTATAGGCACGCGCCACCATGCCCAGCTAATTTTTGTATTTTTAGTAGAGACGGGGTTTCACCATGTTGACCAGGATGGTCTCGATCTCTTGACCTCGTGATCCACCCGCCTTGGCCTCCCAAAGTGCTGGGATTACAGGCGTGAGCCACCGTGCCCGGCCCCGTTGTTCCATATTTCAATTGTGCCCCTCTCGCCCTCAATGCTTGCACTTTCCTCATCTTTTCTGCACCTTTTTGTCACTTCTGGACTTCAATCACCAGCAGAGCACGTGCACCCTCTACCCATGGGTAGAGGCACTGTTGGCAGAGCAGTGTACTGGCACCTTGCAGAGAATCCACTCCCCAACTATATACGCCATTGAGCCCTGAGCAGGGAATTGGCTGAACCTGGAAGTGGGCGTGTAAAGGTGGCAAAAATAAATCTAGACAGCCACTGATCTGCATACATGGCACTCGCCCAATCTTAATCTTCTCCTATCCTGGACCGCCCCCCAAACCCAACCCAATTAGAAACAGCAGCCCAGGAGGCTCTGCACCCACTTATTCAATGACCTGTCCTTCCCCTGCACTTTTCCAGGGGGCCAAGGCTGGCTGTGGGGAGGCTGCAGTGACAATGTGGGCTTCGGAGAGACGATTTCCAAGCAGTTTGTCGATGCCCTGGAAACAGGACAGGATGCACGGGCAGCCATGAACCTGCACAACAACGAAGCTGGCCGCAAGGTGAGTCCCGCAGCCCTTGGGAATAGGTAACTGCTGTCTCCATTCACTCCCAGCCCCAGGTGCGGGCAACTCTTCAGTTCATTTAAAAGATTGGCAAAATGAGGTACCAAGTGGGCTGGCCCAGTAGACTAACTAGACTCCTCCCAACTCCCGCAGGGGCTCGCCTCGTGCTTAATCCCGGGCCTCTCACTCCTAGCTCTCTCCCCAGGCGGTGAAGGGCACCATGAAACGCACGTGCAAGTGCCACGGCGTGTCTGGCAGCTGCACCACGCAGACCTGTTGGCTGCAGCTGCCCGAGTTCCGCGAAGTGGGCGCGCACCTGAAGGAGAAGTACCACGCGGCACTCAAGGTGGACCTGCTGCAGGGTGCTAGCAACAGCGCGGCCAGCCGCGGCGCTATCGCCAACACCTTTCGCTCCATCTCCACTCGGGAGCTGGTGCACCTGGAGGACTCCCCAGACTACTGCTTGGAGAACAAAACTCTAGGGCTGCTGGGCACCGAAGGCCGAGAGTGCCTGAAGCGCGGGCGCGCCCTGGGTCGCTGGGAACGCCGCAGCTGCCGCCGGCTCTGCGGGGACTGCGGGCTGGCCGTGGAGGAGCGCCGGGCGGAGACTGTGTCCAGCTGCAACTGCAAGTTCCACTGGTGCTGCGCAGTCCGCTGCGAGCAGTGCCGCCGGAAGATCACCAAGTATTTCTGTAGCCGCGTGGAGCGGCCGCGCGGGGGCGCTGCGCACAAACCTGGGAGAAAACCCTAAGGGTTTCCTCTGCCCCCTCTTTTTCCCCACTGGTTCCTGGCTTCTTTTAAAGACCCCGGTAATTGCGGAACCTAGGGAATGGGGAGCCCACACTCCCAGATCTAAGCATCCTGAGAGGGAGACTGCAATTTCTCCGAAGCTTGCCACTTTCCAACCTGTTCCCCCAATTCCTCTGTGCTCTCCTACAGCTCTGTCTGAATCCTCCTGGCAGCCACACCTAGGACTGAGAACTCAGACCTTGAGCTACGGATCTTCCTTGGATTAGGATGAGAATAGGTGTTTCTCCTCCCCTCTCCTAGCAGCCCGAATGCCTGACCCAGCCTATCAAGCCTTAGGCACTGGAAGACCCCTTCTCAGACACGCAGGGCCCAGGTAAAGCCACAGCTTTGCCCTTTTGCCCACTGTTTGCTACCAGGGATCACCCACCTGTCTTCTGCAGAGCTCCTCCCCTACCTGCTGACACAGACTCCCCAGGAATCTTGAATGCTTTCTCTTCTTCCTTTCTTTCCCTGAAAAGAAACTGAGGAAACTGGCCTGGGAAAACCACGTCTTTGGGGTTGGTTCCTCGAGGCAGAGGTTGAAGATGGAGCCCTGGAGTGATGACTCGAACACCAAGGGTGCTACTCATCCTTGTGATACCCTGTCATGAATGGACTTTACTAGTGGGGCAATGACTTGCCTGGACAATCACCCACAGGACTCCAGATACAGACCCCAAAGGTCTAGGAACTATGTTAAGGGCAGAGTACAGACACTTCCTACCCTTTAAAGGTACCTTCTCCCTGCTCCTGACCTACTTCCTTCTAGCAACCAATTCTACTTCTTCCCCAAAGGATCTTTGTTCCTCTGAGCCAAGAGTGAGGTAAATAAAGCCACTTTCCTGTTCAGATCCTGGTCTGCATCTCTAGAGGCAGGTCATAAGAATGAGAAACTGAGACCCTTCCTTCTCACTAATCCAATCTGGTTTTCAAATAGGCAGGATTCAAAGCACTGGGTATCTTCCTTCGATGAGTAAACTTCCTGCAATGAAATTGTTGCTAATGGGAAGGTCAGCATCTTGAACTCTAATTTATTGTAGTCGTTGTGACGTGTGCTTTTTCTAGGTATTGAACTTATTCTTGAGGATATTGGGGTGGGATGTTGTAACAGATACAATCTTAGGCTCTCTCCTCCCTCCTATCTTGGCAGGATACCATCCTGTCTGAACCCTCACTTCCCTGATGGCCCAAGTAGTTACCTGGATTGAGATAATCTGTCAAGGGTTAGTAAATCATCCATATAAATCTTCTAATACATTCACTCAATAGCCATGAGCTTGCTGCTTGTGGTACCTGAGTCTTCTGGCTTTACTATCAGAGCGGAGTATAGCAGGGACTTGTTTATGAAACAGAGCAAGTCCTTGGGGAGGGAAAAACCAATCCCTGACAGACCCTCTGTAACCCAAGGAGCTTCCCAGCCAGCTTTCTTGCCCTAGGACAGTCCCGAGTCTGGGACCGGGCAGCTCTTCTGGAGCAGAACTGGTCAGATGCTAGACAGCCTCAGCCTTCCTCTCCCAGAGTAGGAGAAAGCAGTGTGGCTGGTTCCAGGTAAAAAAAAGTCAAGACTCTAGGGGCTCACCTGTAAGAGTGGAAGGGCTCCCGTACTCCAAACTGAGGCAATGGCCAGGTCAGATCCCAAGCCCTGGCCTCACTCACACCTTCTGGTCTCACTAACGCAGGGAGTTTCTCTTCCCTGACCAGGGGATACACTTCCTTTCAGGTGTTCCTAGTGCTTCATTTCCAGCTCTATTAGCAAAAGGCCCTTCACGTATTCCCTCCGCTTTTATCTGGGCCTCCTGAATCTCCCAACTCGCCTTTCCTCCTTAAACAGCCGTATATACTAACCTACCTGTCCCACTTTGCAGAATTACTTAATGTACACAAAGAGTTTGGCAAGGCAGCTAGAAAATTTAAAAGTACAATGTTGTAAAGTAAAGCTGCATTCTCAGGAAGTCTCTTAGCACAAAAGCAAGAGTAGTATTGTGCTTCCTACTTGATAACTCTAGGTCAGCACTCTATATCATGCTGCCAGAACATTATTTCATAGGTTGTTGTTTTTTGCTTTTGGTTTTTGAGACGGAGTCTTGCTCTGTTGCCAGGCTGGAGTGCAGTTGTGTGATCTTGGCTCACTGCAACCTCCTCCTCCCAGGTTCAAGGGATTCTCCTGCCTCAGCCTCCTGAGTAGCTGGGACCACAGGTGCACACCACCACGCCCAGCTAATTTTTGTATTTTTAGTAGAGATGGGATTTCATCATGTTGGCCAGGATGGTCTCAATCTCTTTACCTTGTGATCTACCCACCTCAGCCTCCCAAAGTGCTGGGATTACAGGCATGAGCCACCGCACCTGGCCTAGGTTATTGTTTTATATCCCCAAATGAATACCAGATTCATTCCAGTTCTAACAAGAAAACATGACTGAGCTGCCTTGGATCTGTATTGCTTTTCCCTTCCTTTTGCAATATCCACTTGTTCACTTGTTCATTCAACAAACACAAGTGGAGACAGTAGCGAACAACCACCGCCATCGCTGCATCATGGAGCTTCAGTTCTCACCTTACACTCAATTGCCAGGGCTGTGGTCCTTTTACATAGTAGACAACTCCAGAACTGGTGCTTGGGAAGACATCTTTGAGGTCAGCCAGTCAAATCTTTTGTTTTACAGATTTAAACTGATGCTGAGAAAGATGACTGGCTTCTTCCCCCAACTATTAAGTTACTGTGGGGTGAGTGCAGAGCACAGGCCCCTTCCCACCTCTTGTGTGCTCTTCAGGAGCCCATCTGTCTCAGCCAGGGGACAGAAACAGAGGGAGGTCCTGAGAAGTGACAAAGACATTGGTTGGGGTGGGCAAAGCACGGTCTCCTTCCTGTCCCTGGCTTGTGAGCCTACACACAGGCAGAGCTTTTTCTTTTTGAAAAGAATAGCAGCCTCAAATGGCCTTAGCAGCAGGTTAGGGCACAGAGACGGGGGTTGTCCTTCGTGCTGGTGGTAGTGGGAGGGGAGGGCAGGCCAGGGCACTCGCCTATTGTATTTCTGGATTGGATGCTTCCACTCATTCATTTCCTTTTAATTAACCCACATTCCTGGAGGAGAAATATTTACGTTGGCTCCCATAGAGGCAATCCTCAGACTGGAAAGAAGTGGGAAGAAAGCCTGTCTTAGCAAAACAATATCTCTAAAGAGCTCAAAAAGAGAAAATAGGAGAACAAAATGCCATTAAAATAGCCTTCTACCCCCACCGGAGTCAATGAAAACTTCATTTCACATGCTAATCCGCCACTCCGCCCCCTTGTCTTCTCACAACACCTTTTCCGAGAGGATTTGAGAAAAGTCTCCGCAGTCAGTACACAGCTCCCTGCAGCTCAGACTTCTCCTTGTGTTAGCTCAGGGCCCCAAGTGGGGCTCTCACTCCAACAGCGGCTTTTTTCTCCCCCACTTTAATTTAAACAAAGACTTCGGAGTTCATCAACCTCCCACTGAAATTCACAGCTGCTGAACAAACTAATCCCCTCTCCCAGCCTTTCTTCCCTTCAATGGGCTCTTGGCTTCAAAGACACTTTGGGAAAGGACTTTGCTGGGGCTCACACTGCTTCATCAATAGAAGTTAGTGCAAGTATTATCTGAAGAGCAAGTGGCTTTACAAACAAATACCGCCTAACAATCCCTCCCTCCCAAACACACACACATCTAGTCTGCAGACATGATGGGATCTACAACAGGATTAGGGCTAGGACCCCCTGGCTTCACACCAGTCCCTTTGTATAGCTGAGCTCAGCCCTGAAGTGGGGTGGGGAAAACCCTGGAACTGAACACCAGGCACGGATGAAGGGAGACAGCCTCCCACGCCCAACACACCCAGCAGAGTGACCACAGATGCTGCAAGGAGAGAACCTAGTTCAGTGGGACGGGACCCCTTCCTTTAACTTTCTTGATTTCTCTCCCTAAGCCTCTCCCCTGCTTTACTAGGGTGCCAGAAGCAAGAATAAAGAGGCCTAGAGCCAGGTGTGGTGTCTCACACCTGTAATCCCAGCACTTTGGGAGGCCAAGGTGGGCGGATCACCTGAGGTTGGGAGTTGGAGATGAGCCTGACCAACATGGAGAAACCCCATCTCTACTAAAAATACAAAAAAATTAGCTGGGCGTGGTGGCGTATGCCTGTAATCCAAGCTACTGGGGAGGCTGAGGCAGAAGAATTGCTTAAACCCAGGAGGCAGAGGTTGCAGGGAGCCGAGATCGTGCCATTGCACTCCAGCCCGGGCTGGAGTGTCTCAAAAAAAAAAACTGTCTCAAAAAAAAAAAAAAAAAAGAAAAGAAAAGAAAAAGAGGACTAGAAAGGTCATGTCAAAACGGGACCCGTGCAGGCAATGACTGGGAGGTGACAGAGGAAACCAAATCAAAGCAGCTTTATTGCACCATTGAGTATATCACTGCATCAAATACAGGGCCGCAAATGAAAATGCAATCGAAGAAGGCAGCCCTGTGGCATGTGGTGGCTGAGCGTGAGACGGGCCCCCAACCCTTGAGGAGCAGTGCTAAAGAGAATCGTTCCTTCATATGGCTCCTATTCCAGAACTGGGCTTCATCATCACAGAAGGAATGGCCTTGGGCTAGGGCTCCGCGTAAGTGGGTCAAGGGCAGTTCTCCACAGGCTGTGGTTCCCCTGCTCCTGTCTCCTGCCTAAGATAGCTTCTGGCAAAAGGCAGTTCACCTTCCATCTAATCTAGCCCACCCTTAATAACACTGGCAGATGAGAAATTCCATTTTAACAGTGCCAAAGTTTCCTCTCTTGGTTCTGCTCAGCACCCATCCCTCACATCCAAGACTTGTTTAAAGGGTGAACAGTAGTCAGCTCTACCCCAGACCCTGGGCTACAGAGAAATATGGACCTGGAAATACGAAGTCAGAGGCAGGGAGAAGGTAAGGGCAAGCTCATAAACCACAGAGGGAGAAACAAAAGACCCGCAAGATGGGTCACAGCAGAGGTAGACTTGGAAGTAACAATCCTGTTCACCCTCTCAGAAGCCACTTAAACAGAATATCCCTGGGGGAGAAGATACCCTGCCTCAGATCCTTACAGAGTATAATATTAGGGAGAGGGAAGAACTGACTCTGCGCCCTGCCTCCAGGCCTGAGAGAGTCTTGGATAGATCCTAGAAGGCCAGGCATAAAGGAGTCAAAAGTAGGCACTCGGCTGATTTGGAGCCAAGCCTGCAGCATCACATACCGGGCAGCAAGGAAAAGCGTCGGGCAAAACCATCAATCTGTTGCAAAAGTCCCCTCTTCTGCAGGGAGGAGTTAAGAACAGCAGAAGTGGCCTCCTAGCAAGAAAGCCTGCCTGGTTTAGACCTGCAGCTTATGAGCGATGGTGAGGACAGCCTTCAGGATAGGCATGAAGCTGGACACCTCGCTGAAGCTGCTGCAGCCCGCCACCTGGGCATGCACTGCGAGGCCCTGCTCAAAGCTTCCTGTATCCACACAGCGGGCAACCTCGTGGAGCCCAGCCACGACGTGAGGTGAGAGCTGTGGAGGGAGGGACCCTTCGGTTAGTGAGCCCAACCCAGGCCCTACCCTGGCAGCCTGGAAGGGATAAGGGAGGACTTAAGTTTTGGGGCTCAGTTCAGGCAGGAGGCATGTATTTTGTGGAGAACCCAGGTCAGTGAGACCTATGGGAAGAAAAGACGCTGGGCTTCCTTTGGCCATGGTGATGGTGGGAGGGCAGGAGGCAGTGGGAGCACAGCTAGGTGTACTTACTGTCCCCTCGCAGAGCTTCTCATATAGACACTCCAGACGCTGGGCTGCCTCTTCCAGCTTCCTTTTTGTCTTCTGCAGGGAAAGAAATAGATTCCAACCCCAACCCCCAAGGCAAACACTACCCCGGGCCATAAAGAATCATAGTATATTAGAGCTAGAATGGCTTCATTTCACAAAGGAAGTGAAGGCCCAAGAAGGAAGTGGCTGGCTCAAGCTGGCATGGCCAGCAAAGGAATGGCAGACTTCCTCACTCCTGGCTTCGCCCTGCTTCC